GAGCTGTTATTAAACACAACCCTCCAAAATACCCCGAGCGTCCTGCACACACAAAATGGACAGATTAAAATCTCGAGGTCATGCTCGGTCTGTGGGCCCTTTTCTCACTTCCTACTTAGACTTAACTTCTTGTTTGTACTTGAAACTTTGTTTATTTTTTAGATGATAAACAAACAACAGATTTGATCTGACTTAGAACATACATATTTGATCTCATTTCAATCAGAGTAATACAAAAAAATTGGTATTTCTGCACACACTAACATATGAATGTTCTCTTGCAAACAACAGCTTTCCACTATGAAGTAACCCAAACGGAAAGACACCATAAATATACCATTACAAGATCTATAGCATCTCTCTCCCTCTCTCTATTGTGTCTTTGTGAGTCTGTTGTATATGTCTATGTGTCAGGACAGGGTTTTGACTCCCTTGTGTGGGGTCTATTTCCCCCGACCACACTCCCCGCCAGTGGCATTGGTGGCTCTCGGTGTCCAGTGCCAGGTGGTTGTGTACTGACTCACTTGTGGCTGCCTGCCCAGGGCCCCTGCTGGTGGTGGGGTGCCCTTGGGTGTCCAATCTCTGGTGTGGACCACGGCAGAGCCTGTGGGCTCAACGTCACAGCCCCCTGTGGGCTCTGCACTGTGGCTGCTGCTTGTATTATTAGTACTGTGTGCTGTTCAGTAACATTACTTATTTATTATTATTTATTATTTACTGTTTTTTGTGTGTTGTGTTGTGGATTCTATGGTGTGTCTTTTTTTTTCTTCAGCAGATTCTCAGTGTTTTTTCCTCTCTCCCTCTTCTTCTTCTCTATTTTTCTCTTCCTCCCCTCCTGTAAACTTTCTCCCCATCCTAAAAAAATCAGTAGGTCTGATAGCATTCCTCCCTATTTCTTACACCTCGCTGCAGGTCTTATAGCCCAACCAGTGTCACATATTTGTAATATTTCCACTCAAACTAATACTGTCCCTGATGTTCGGAAAACAGCTTTCACACTACCCTTAGAAAAATGTGGCTATCCCACCTTATTAACTAACTATAAACTCAGAGCTTAGAAAAAGGCATTTTCCTACAATGCTCCTTATACTTGGAACGAATTACAACAGTACTTGAAGTTGTGCAGCTTAAATGAACTGAAGGGTTTTTTAATAAATTGTAAGGATAATAGACAAAACATCATTGCATGGCTGTTCCTGTTAGTAATGTTTTATTTCTACAGTCTTTTATTTTATTTTTAGTTGTATTTTTCCAGTTAGTTGGTTTTATGAAATGTAATGACTATAGTGTGTTTTAACACATTCAGGCTGCTCTTGAAAATGAGACCTTGTGTTTCAATGAGATTTATCTGTCTAAATAAAGGTGATATAAAAAAATAAAGCAGCTCCTTTGACTTTGACTAACTGCTCTGATTGGGTCCATTTCACTGCTGCGTGTCATCTTTAGCACACTCTTTGAAAACTGTAATACAGTTTTGTCCACTAGATGTCAGCCTGATACAAAGTCTTAGATGACAGGACACTGTAAAGCTACAGGTACAGAGCTGAGGAAAGTTAAACATATTTAATACAATCTAAGTCCCCTTTTTGATTTAACACAGTGAGACAAGAGTAAGTCGGATCTCACCTCCACACTGACCATCTCTGTTTTAATAAATCTGCAGCACTGTGATGTTCTTGGTTTAATAAAAACCTAGAAACTAAGCATTTAGTACTTCTGTCTGTAGCAGGTATGAGTTATAAATGCACAGATTTCGAAGAAACACTTGTTTGGTGTGTTTGTGGTGACAAAAGTCTCTAAAATTTTGGTGGAAGAAAAACCCCAAAGTTGTTCTGGGCTTGTATCTGCAAATACACAATAAATAAACAAGCATTTATGACTCTCAGTTGTTCTAAAACTGCTCTGCGATGCTGAGGAGCAACACATCCAACATATCTTAATTAGAATTTTTAATCTGTTTAATTACTGCATTCTGTAAAAAAAATGCTGTTTTTATTTTGAATTCAACAATGTTTTTTTGTTGTTGTTTTTTTACGAGTGTTTAATGTTTATCTGTAACTCACTTTCCATTTATACTATTGATTGATGGATTATTTATTAATTTAGAAAGACTCATGAACTGCTTTATTTTGACTATAAGTACCAGTCCTCCAACGTCTGTGGCTTTAAATTACACATCACGTCAGTGTTTATGATTTTAAGGCTGATGTATTGTTTTGGAGTTTTCCATTAAAGTTAAAAATACTGATAAAAGCTATTTTATTGTTGCTCCTCAGGATGTGGTGGTGGTGAAGCTCTGTCAGTACAGATGTTTAAAAATGTGGTGTTTAAGAATAGTGTGACCTCTAAAGAGGCGTTTTCTCATTATTTCTATTTTTGATTTCTCCTTTGTTCAAACAATGCAAGACACAAGACATGAATGGATTTAGTGTCATAAAATTGACAAAGAATTTTTTTTTTGTAGTTAATCAAAATCTGATCAAAGTGCAGATTTGAGCTTTAATTTGAGGGTTATTATTTTTTTGTTGTTGTTGTTGTTTTTTTATGCAAAACATTCACATGAACTCTTCAAGAATTAGATTCGTCTTTATGCACATTTAGGATGCAGAATTGTTTGTAATACTTGGATGAAGACAATGATTGCTTGCAGTCTTGAACCCATCAATGTTACCAAATGCTGTAGTAAAGCAGCTCCCTCCTGTTCATTGTAGACAATGATATGCTTGCCTCCATCAAAGTCTTCTGGGCGTGGTTACATGTTATATTATTGTTTTTCTTGGCCATGTCATCATACTCTTTGGTTGTCTTCTGTAGTCCAGCCTTTGGTGTTGCTGAGGAGGCCAGTGCCTTCATCTTATTTAAGAATATGCCAGATTCTTGATTTGGATACTCTTAAAGTTTATGCTTTATTCTGGGTCTTTGATGATATTTTTCCTGCACTGGCCCTGATATCTCTTTGGACCTTATACTAGTTATCTGTCATAAGAATACTTCAATAATATTGAAGTCCGGGCTCTGAGGAGGCCAATCCATGACTGATAGAGTTTCATTGTGTTTTTCTATCCGTTTACTGCTCTCGCAAAATGTTTGATAGTCTGCTTGTCTGTCGATCCTGCTTACCAGTTACAGTTGCACTTTTCATGTCATGTGTCTGAGGAGGAGAATAGCGATGCAGTCTACAGCCTGGATGTGAACATAACTTTTATTCGTTTGCACAAAAGGACGAGAACACTTGTGGTAAATAGTAGATAGCATCCAGGAGCAAAACAGCTGCATCATTCAGCTAACATCACTTTGGCTCTTTGCAAGCATCTGCACAGACACCATGCTAACGCTAAGCTAGCCAGGAACCCAGAGTGATGCTGACGCTGAATGTTTGCTGACCCCAGCCCAGCCAGACCCTGAACTTCAGCAGGTATGCGACTGATGAGCTCAGTGTTTGATCTTGACCTTCAGTGCTTGGTCTAAAGAAATCAAGAAACCACATCGAGTGATATATCACATGAAGAGGCATCGGAAATTTGTTTTGTCACAGCAGAAATTGGACAGTGCAAAGTTATATAGCAAAAATTAGAGAACACTGGAATAGAATAAGAATAAGATACTGTACACAACTGTACAGAATAGAATAGAATAAAATAATATATACAATAGGATAAAAATAGAATACAAATGCTATATACAACTGACTAAAAATACAACTTTGTCAGAGAAAGAGTATTGCACTTAGTGTTATTGCACATGTGTGGATGTGTGTGTTTGATCAGTTGGAGTCTTTGTTGTGGAGTCTGACAGCAGTGGGGAGGAAAGACCTGCAAAATCTCTCCGTCCCACACCATGGGTGCCGCAGCCACTGAAGGAGCTGCTCAATGCTGTCACAGTCTCCTGCATGGGGTGGGAGATGTTGTCCAACAGGGATGACAGCTTAGCCTCCATTATCCTGTCACTCACCACCTCCACTGGGGCCGGAAGGCATCCTAGAACAGAGCTGGCCCTGCGGATCAGCCTGTTCAGTTGCTTCCTGTCCCCGGCAGAGTGGTTGCCATCCCAGCAGACGACACTATAAAAGATGGCTGAGGCCACCTCAGAGTCACGGAAGGTCTTCAGGAGTGGGCCCTTCACTCCAAAAGACCTGAGTCTCTGCAGCAGGTACAGCCTGCTCTGCCCTTTCCTGTAGAGGGCGTCTGAGTTATGAGTCCAGTCCAGTTTATTGTTCAGATGAACACCAAGGTACCTGTAGCTGTCCACAGCCTCGACGTCCATACCTTGGATGTTCAGTGGTTGCAGAGGAGGATGTTTGTGCCTGCGGAAGTCTACCACCAGCTCCTTGGTTTTATTAGTGTTGATCTGGAGGTAGTTCTGCTGGCACCAGTCCACAAAGCCTTGTGTTAGTTCTCTGTACTTCCTGTCGTCCCCATCAGTGATGAGGCCGACTATTGCAGAGTCGTCAGGGAACTGCATGTTATTTAGATTGTAAATTCAATTCAATTTTATTTATACAGCACCAAATCACAACAGCAGTCGCCTCGAGGCAGTTTATATTGTAAGGTAGACCCTACAATCATACATACAGAGAAAAACCCAACAATCATATGATACTGTAACTTCTTTCATTTTTTCTTGAGATGCTCCTTTAACTTATTAATTATTCTTTGTTTAAGCTATTCTGTTGCTCTGGTTGAGTTTAATGTTTTCACTGCAGCAATCTCATTTTTTCTTAGAGATTAGTAGCTATTGATCAAATTTTTGTAAACGAGTTCCTCTTTAAAAGTAAAAAATGTGATTTTCAGAATGTACTTCTTTGCATTCATGAACTAAAGATATTTTTTGTATATTGTTTGGCTTTTACTGGTTCGGCCCACTTGAACTTGACTGAGTGTCATGTGGCCTATGAACTAAAATGCATCTGACACACCTGCTCTGAAAGCTCCCATGGTCAGGTGCAGCCTGAATAGGGAGGCATTAGGACCCAGAGTGCTCTGTGCTATTAACTAATGCCACTGCTGCCTTCAGTTTCTCTCCTGTCGGATAGACAGAGTAGCTGCTTGCCGGTTCTCTGCTCTTCCCTGTTTTTTCCCCTCTTTTTTTCTTTTACTCTGGATATGGAGTTCAGAGGTCCACCGACTACCAGCATCCAGCAGCAGATGAAGAACCTCCACAGAGCACCTGGAGCTCCAGCTGAGTGTGCTTACCTGCAGCAGCTTTGGGAGTAGTTTCCTCCTGAGTTTCCTCCACACCAAAGTGCTGCCTATATTTTGCTGTTTATCTTCTTCTGTTGATTTTTTTCCTGTTGTTATTTCAGCCTGCTGTTCAGCAGTTGCCTCAGGCTCTGAAGTCTCCCTCCTCCCCCTTTCCTCTGTCACTCGCTCAGCTGTCAGTCCGTCCGTCCCTGTCAGGATATCCCCTTCCCTCTTTCTAGGGTTTCATAATACACTAGGACCTGAGCCAGGTCTGAGCTGTCATTCAGAGGCTGGGGTGGATTTCATTCTTCTGTTTGTCAGAAAACTGAAAGCTGACAAGTAATAAATGTTAACCAACACAGAGGAGTTGTGGAGATAATGGAAGGCCACAAGCTACACAGAACCTAACTTTGGATGAGCAGACAGACCCACATTTGATCCTTTTTGAGACTCTGGCAGTGACTGTTTTTTGAGTTTTGTGCATATGTGTGTTTTTTGGATCTATTGGATTGCCAGTCATGGGGAATGCAGCAGGAAGCCTTGAGGTTTCTCAGGGAAAGGATGGCAAGCCATCGGGCCCGGGGTCCACGGGGCCCCTGAGACAAACAGCCGGAGCGAAACTCCCGATGCCACCTGAAGAAGAGCTGGAGGAACGCTTCAACGCTGTGCTGGTGAGTCGCGAATGCATGACTTCGTGCTGCAAGTGGAAAAAGCATGAGTGCCACAATAGAAAGAAACAAAGAATGTGGAATATGTTGAAAATGTGCACGTCCTCGGGACAAGCTTATCGTTGTGCCAGGTACACAAAGCTGCTGTGAAAAGATACATAAGAGCTCCTTTATGCTCAGGCTTACCGCAGCTTTAGGCTCACTGCTCCCTGTTAGAGAAAGAATGATATGAGGAAGTCAGGTCTGTTTACAGCTTAGTAAAAGGTGCCTCTATTCTTTACTGCTCTATCTCAGTACTTATAAATCACTCATGTATCAAAGTTTTACCAATGAGAGAAGATTACGTTGACCAAAAATACCCTTGGATATTAGGAAAGAGACAATGTAGATTAGGTCATATGCTGCATCACCTTTGTTGTTTGATTTTATATTTAGTGAAATGCAGGTGCCTTAAGTTGGTCCTCGTTAGTCTTCTCAAAGTCATTACTTTATTATTCCTGTAGGGGGCGCTTATCAAATCAAGAGAATTAGTAAACAGAAGTAAACTTTAAGCTCTGAAAAAGAAGCTCAAATGAGAGGAGCGTAGCTGTAAGGGAAAGAAAATCAGAGAGATAGATAATAATTCAGAAGCTACATCACTGAAATCTAACGACACTGTGATATTGAATGGATGTAGATCATTACAGAGGCCATAAATATATTCTGTCAGTGTGTGTTTTTTAGTCCTTCTTTAGATACTCAGGTGTTTTGGGATATCTTAAATGATTTTCTTGTGATTTATTCGGCATCACAGAACTCGCCGACAACAACGTTTGTTTTTGGTGTTGGGCTCATAAAAGTAACTTCCTTTGAAAACAGGTCATTACTTTCCTCATTACTTTACCTACCAGACAACAGTCTAAGACTAAGCTTGTCACCTGCCTACATATCTGCTTAAATCATTAAATCTAGAATCTAGAAACAGAAAGTAAACTGAAATGAGCAAAACAGATAAATCCACCTGAAACAGCAGCATTATCGCCCCGATTTTTTCCATGCACAACATAGATACAGTCAGCCGAAGCATGAAATACCGACATGCAGACATGTGCCTTTGTTTCTTAACTTTTGATTTGCAAAAAAGATGGTCACACAGTGTCCTCGCCATATACGCTACAGCCTTTCTTTGGACAACACCCATTTTTCTGTTTATCCACACTTAAATTGTGCCTCATTTGTTGCATGGTGAACTTAACGTGCCTTAACTGTTGGAAAACATCCTCCTTGCGTTTTGAGCATTATAAACCCCCGGCTAGTTCAGATGATAAGAAAGCGGTTACAGGTTAGGACTGGGAGTCGTCCTCAACATCTGCACAGATGTTGGAACAGTTCTTTTACCCAAGACCAGATGTTGAACACAAAGATGTAAAAGCGATTAAAGCACCTCTGCTGATAACATTACTTTGACATTTGCACCAGGGGAGGTCACGCTTGTGCCCCGACCTCAGTGCTGCTCATGAGCTTGAGGTGGAGCAAATTCCTGAAGCAAAACTTTAGTAGGAAGGCAGAAACCAGAAGGTAGGAGCCTGTTGTTGTGGTGTTTCTCCAACTTCAGCAGCATACTGTGTTTTCATTGAAAAGCCCGCCTGTTTTCCACACCACCCAGTGGGGTGGATGACAGAATCATTAAGTCTTCAAAGCATTGCTTGAGTGCAACTCCAGCTGTGACTGAGCTGTTACATGTGCAGCAACAGTGACTGAACTCGTGTCTACACAGTGACAGCTAAAGTGAAAGAGAGACGGCAGCTATGATCAATATGTGGTCAGACAGCTTCTATGATTAACCGCATTCCTCTTTTCTGAGTCCTATCATAATGATGGGCTGCACACTGAAGAGTTGATAGTGTGAAACACAGCTAACAGGCCCCAGACGTGCTGTCAGTGAGCACACTTAGCAAAACCGGCTCCTAAAGGTGAAAGGCAATCAGTTAACACCCTGATAAATGCTGCTCTCTTCCAAGTGAAGCACTTCAGTCAGTGTGTGTGTGTGTGTGTGTGTGTGAGCAGAAAATGCTGCCTGTGAGAGGCAGAGTTGTAATTTCCTCTGCTGAGGAGATAATGTTTTATTTTCCTTCAGTGGGATATCTCCAAACCACTTCAGCTGATTTCTTTGATATTTAGTGGACAGTCGGGATAAAATTCATTTAGCAGAATCACATGAGCCCTGAGATTCCAATTAATTTACCTTCGATTCTGAAGTGATGTCAGGGTTTACCAACTCAGAGCAGAGCCGTAAGCACTGTTCAAGCAATGCTTTCAGAAGTTTTGACCAAAATCCTGAATCCTAAGCTTCAGAATGTGAGTTCACAAACTAATGGGTGAAGCCAGGGGCGTCTGGCAAGCAGGAAAATCCTAAAATCTGATGTAGTACTGTAATGTGGAGAAAAGAACGTCATCTAATCATTTCCTTGTGAGCTCCAGTAGATTTGTTTATAGGCAGTGATCAGCTGACCTGCTCTGCTGCTCTGAGATTATTTGGATTGAACCTGTTCATTCAGAAGCTTTCATGGCTCTGAGTCTAATCAGTATCTTCAGTCCAACATGACGTATTACCATAAACTTCACCACAATGCTGCAAACTACAGAGTTTTGCCAGTTTGCATACTATCCTGTATTTTCAGATAGTTTTCAGCACAAAATGATAATAATTCTGTTTATTTTTTAAGATGTTTCACAAAAGAAATATTATAGGGTCCCCACCTTTAATCTGTGAGTCTTTTTGTCACTTTACATGCAGAATATAATAATAACATCATAATAACACTCCAGTTATCAAATAAGTCATGTTGAATTACAAACCTTTTTTTCATTATTTCAATATCTTTTTCTAAGCCTAAACTGCAGTCTTTGCTTTCATTTGAATGTGTTTACAGTATCAGAGTAAACTCGGCCAGTGTTGCAGTGGAAGGATTTGTGTGAAAGATACAGCAATGAATTAATGTGCCAGCAGCAAGCGTCTTGTGCCAACTGCTGCAGGCGTCACTGATCGCAGAGCTGCAGCACTTTGTATGAATGTTCAGGTGTCTCCATAATAATAACAGCCTAAATCCTGCAACCGCGTCTCCCCCCAATCTCTCTGTCTTTTTGCTACATCACCTCTCTATCCTACCAAATATAGATTATCCCTCCCACCCTTATGTCTTCTGCCGAGTGTGCATAATAAATTGAATCTCCTGTGCTCAGTGTTGAAGATACTCTGTCTGCATACAAACCAGTTTCTGCCTGTTGGTGTGCAAAGCGCTGCTGGTTTCCTTCCGCAGTGGCTCAGAAGGACGAGCGGAGAGAGTGTGTCAGAGGGCTCGGAGATGGGAGGTGGATAGTGCTCTGTGTGTTCAGCACGTGCGCATTTGCATGTATTTGTTTGTAAAATGAGCCAGCAGGTTTGTTTGTGAGGCAGCATTTATGATACTTTACTCACATTTAGATGCTTTGATGTGAATCCGCAATAAAAGAATCAATGCTGAAGCTGCAGAAACCTGAAGAGAACATAGAGCACAGAATGACAAAGTGACTGCACAAAGGCTTCAGTCACGTCCAAATTTACAGTTAGTACTTTTCCCTTCAGTGTTTTACATAACACTTTGCATATTTCCCAACAGGGAATGCGGCAGGTGGGTGGATTTGTAAATGTACATCTGCGGATTTGTGTACTGTACTTATAAACTGATGCACAAAGTCAGGAAGAAGCAGAGAAAAGAACATTCACTTTCTTTTTTAGATAGTCTGTACTTTTCTACAGGATTATAAGTTATAAGTGTTGGGTTCTTTTAAGCATTGATGGGCATTAACTCCACTTATTCAATTTTTGCAGTAAGTTTCAGTTCTGTGCAGTTTATCACATTTTAACTCAGGGCACACCCTTATCAAAACAATATAGTTAAGATAAAATAGTTATTGTGATGCACTGCTCATCTCACCTTTCAGCACATCCATGTGCTGTATTTTTGCCCCTCTATAAAAGTGTGAATTCAGTCCCTCCCTTTAGTTCATTTTCTTTTTTCCTCATCATTATAATTAAAGCTCAAGTAAAGCTATAAAAAACAACAACAACTTTTTTGTAACTCCAATGAATCTGAAATTTTTTTAGAATCATTATCTCCGACCAAAATACAAAGATGCTGTGTCTGGCAATCTGTGTGAAATCCCAGAATCATGACGATTATCACAGTGGATTCAGTAGCGTTGTGAACTCAACAATTCATAATCACATTTTGCCAGTATCAATCTATTGTTTCTTATCTGAGCAGCGTTATAGAATAACCAGCTTCTTTTCTTTAATTATTGGTGGGGTTTTGTTGTTGTTTCTGTTTCTTCATCATCTGTCTCCTCTGTAACCCCACTGATATCTATACCCAATATCCCACAATCAGTTTCAAACAAAATATAGAAAACACTGGCTGTATTTCCATGAGACATTTTAAAGAGATTTGTGGAAGTACATTAAACGCAGAGCAGATGTGGATGCAATTCACTGCAGCTTGGGGTGTCACGCACTTTGCAGAACATTATCATGCATCAACTCAGTACAGCAATAATGTAATAATAACAGAATGAAAATGAACAAGAGCCTGTGTTTGTGGAAATCCTGCCATCTCGAATTCTACCTTCATCTTTGTATATTGTGATAGAATGATGCCATACTAGCCTAGTTTTCCCATCATCCTGTTATTGTGTGATTATTACCCTAGCAATCAACTAAACAACCCTCAACTCTCTGATGGTTTACCCCACTAACAGTGGATAATTCATTCAGGCCCTCCTTATAACGAAACGTGTGCCAAATTGGGGAATTCCCAGCACCCTCACAATCATTTTTGTATTGCATCAATCTATGTTGTAGTTGTTCTCAAACATCTTGATATTTAGGAACTGTGAACAAATCATAAAGTGACAATTTTGCAGCAGGTAGTTGATAACAGAATGAAAACAGAATGTCAGGAAGTTGTAGGTCAAAAAATACAAAT